CGGTGAGCCCAGCGTCCTCCTACGCCGCCATCTTCCTCGGGTCTATCACCCTCATTTTAAAGGTGAGGATAATGAGGATTAGGGAGGCTAATGGTTCCCCAGCTTATAAAGAGCAGAATTGAGGCTTTCTCTTCCTCTTGGAACTCCTGACCCAGTAAATTTTTCACTGCATTTTCACAGGCATTCCAGAACCCACTGCCAGCTCTTAACACAGCCTCCAGCAATGTCATAAACCCCATGCTCCTTCCCTGGACCAGGCTGCATGCTTCTGGAACCAAGAGACCTACGTAAGCTCATCTCACCCTAGCTGGGCCTAGGAGTCACTCCATAGATGGATGTCACCTGGTTGAAAAGCCTACGCTCAGTGGCCAAGAGGCAGCCTTAAGCCAGCACCACCCCATTCCCTTTACAAGGGACTGAACTCACCTCATGAGGGACCCTTGACTACATGGCCCTGCTGGTAAACAGAGAAGCAGGACTGGGATCGCACTGAGGATGGGGTAGGGTGTCGTAGGGCAAAAGGCAGGGATGTCACTAGGACCCCCACCCAAACCTGTCTCCATTATTTTCCCCCACAGAAAGTGGCACTGTGCAAATCATCCTGTGTCCCTCTTTCCCCAAGAGGGCACTTTCCCCTGACCTGTGTCCCAACAGCACGGCCTCATTCCTCCTTGCCACCTGTGAAGTCTTCCGTCTTGCTGCCAGCTTCTGTCCCTGATAGTGTCTCTTCCATAGCAAGGTCTCCTCCCACCCCGTCCTTGCCCTGCACCCCAAGTTTTTCCTGTTTTACCTAAATTTGTAGTTGTCTGGCAGGAAGTAGCCCATCTTGCAGTCTTGTCGAGCCTGGAAGATCTGTTTCAGCAGATTCTGCCTGCTATAGCCATATCCATTCAAAATGCAGCCTCCAAAAAGGAGTTTTCCCCCAGCAAACATCTGTCAACACATAGGAAGGAAACAGCAGGAGGGCACTGAATCTCAGGATGGTGCCATGGGCCTCAGAGCCTGTGCCAGAATTCAGGCCTTTCTTTGATGGTTTCGGGCAAAGGGTATTACCCTCCCCAAGTCGCCCAGTGAGGTGTGGCTGAGCCTGTTCCCCATCAAGGTCTCCCAAGTCAGAGGGCAGCCCCACCATCCCAGCCTTTGCCCTCTGCTGGCCCACCTGCTCAGAGGTCACCTCACACACAAGGGCTCCAGAGCCCTGGGGCCTGAAGGGTTTCTTCCTGCTCAGAGGGACCCACTCCACCCTCCTACAGCTGGCTGGCCCACTTATCCATATGCATTGATCAGCTGGCCCCATGGGATGGGAGCTCTTGAGGGTAGGGATCTTGTCCTATGGCTCTCTGAACCCCCACTCTCTACATGTCAGTCTCCAGCAAATAGACACCTGTCCAAAGATTTCTGTGCAAGGATATCCATTAGAGTGCTATTTGTCATGGCCCACTGCCCAAACAAAAAGGAGATAATGTAAATGTCCAACAAAAGGATCACAGGTATAGAAATCAAATGACCGATTCTCATGCAGTGATTAAAAAATTACAATTAAAAAAGCAAGACTCCAAAGGCACCTGGCTGGCTCAGTCAGTTAAGCATTGGGCTCTTGATTTCAATTCAGGTTATGATCTCACAGTTCATGAGATCGAGCCCTGCATCAGGCTCTATGCTGGCAGTGAGGAGCCTGCTTGGGATTCTCTCTCTCCCTCTCTCTCTGTCCCACCCCACTTGTTCTCTCTCCCTCTTCAAAATAAAAAATTAAAAAAAACATTTAAAAAAAGCAGGACCCCCAAATCAGAAAAATCCAGGGGCCAAAATGTTAGCATGGGCATGCCCCAGGGCTTCCAATAGTGCTGGATCCAGCAGCTGCCCAGTACATCCTCATTGTGTGAGCAAATGAGACAATCTGGGTAATACGGGGAAGCAATTATTTTCTAAATTTTTTCAATAAATATACATATATTTTTACAATGCCCTGCTTTTAGTAAAAAGTTATTTAAAAACAGACAAAGAGAATTTGGTTCTCCAGGTTAGGTGTCCCTCGCTCCCTTGAGTCTTCTGGGATGAGGGATGCATGGGGTCAGGCTGCAAACGGGAGACTGGGCTGCAGCCCTGGCTCTATGTGATGGGTGACTCTCAGTCAGGCCTTCTGCCTCAGAGCCCACAGACCCTCTCTCCTTTCCCCTCCCATATCTGTGATTCCACAAGGGTAGGGGCTATGGGGGACTAGGTTGGCAGTAGTTGGTGGTGAATCCCCCGCTGGGCCCCAGCTCACCAGAACCATCCCCTGCACCACAGCATACTTCTTCACCAGCAGTGGTGGGTTCTTCTGCAGGGCGCTGTCCAGGTCATACCGTAGCAGGCGGTAGGGGTCATGCCGGCACTTCCAACAGAGAAATAAGTGCCCATCAATCCTATGCCAAGAGGACGCACTCCAATTCCAGAATTCTTAGCCAGGCCAAGTTCCCATGGAATCCTGGAGCCCCTCAACATCCCCTCCCAACTCCTGTTCAACAGGCTGTTCAGCCTCCACAAGCACACCTACCATGACTATTGCCAAAGGATGCCATCTAGGCATCTGGGTTCATCTAGGGCCTTCTGCCTGTGAGAGCTGTCATGGAGATGACTGTGCCCCACCACTTGACAGCCACTAGCCCCACACTCTAGGGTCAGCAGGACTTGACTGTTCCCTTTGCCTGGGAGAAGCCCTGTGGGAGATTTGGAGGTATACTGTGTTCCTGGGTGTACCTATTTTCAGGATTCCTCCACCCTCTGCCCCCTGCCCCTCTGGACAACCCCTCTCAGTGCCAGGACCTGAATCAAACCTACATCTTAAGGTGGGACCTGGGCAATCCAAAGGAAAGCTGGTCTCTTTCCCCTCCTTTCTGGATGCTACAAATCCATTAATACGGCTAATGTATGATGTTTTCTGGTTTGATCTGCCTTTTATTCCAGGTGCCTCTAACTGTCCTACATGACATTTCAATTTATTTTTTTCTGGAGAGAGAGGGGAAGTAAGTGTGCACAAGCAGGGGAGGAGCAGAGAGAGAGAGGAAGAGAGAGAATCTCAAGCAGGCTCCACGGCCAGCATAGAGCCTGATGCAGGGCTCAATCTTAGGACTGTGAGACCATGACCTGAGCTGAAATCAAGAGACAGACACTTAACTGACTGAGCCCCCCAGGCACCCCTGATGTTTCTACTTAAAATTTGAAACCCAGGGGTGCTTGGGTGGCTCAGTTGGTTGGGCATCTGACTCGAGCTCAGCTTATGATCTCACGGTTCGTGACTTTGAGCCCTGCTTCAGGGTCTCCACTCTCAGGACAGTGCCTGCTTCAGATCCTCTGTCCACCCCCCTCTCTTTGCCCCTCCCCTGCTCACTCTTGCTCTCTGTTTCAAAAATAAATAAACATAAAAAAAAGTGAAACCCAGAACTGTATCTGGTATTTTAGCTTTCAGAGCAAGACATTAGGGAACATTTCTACCTTAACCAAACACACCGGAATGGTGGAATCAGAGTCACTGTGACATCTGACACCTCCTTCCAGAATTGTCCTCTGCACCCCTCAAAACCCACTATCCACTCCTCCATTGGCCTCAACCACCTCAGGTCAGGCCCAGTCCCCATTCGCACTTCTCGCAGCTGGGCTGGACCGCCATGCATCCTACATTTACGAATAATTATTAATAAACAATTAATAGCCCCAAGGTAAATAAGCGTCACCTCTAAGGTCCTATGGGGGCAGGGATCATATCTGTCTATGCACGGATCAGTGCAGGGCAGGAACTCAGTAAGTTTTCACTAAATCTATGTAAATTGGGGTTGACTCCAGAAAACATACATGGCTTTGATGTATGTAAATAGTAAAAAGCCTTCTGGTGTCTGATCAGACTAGTTCCAATGCCAAGCTCCTGGCACTAGCTGGGTAGGCTCATGGGGTCAGGAGGCTGCATCCCTGGGAGCAAAGCTGGAGAAGGTATCCCCAGGGCAAACACAAAAACTTAGACTTTGTGTCTGCAGTAAAGGGAGAAAGGGCAGACAGTGGACCAGAGAGGGCATGGGGCCAAGAGGATTTGAAGGAAGTCACTAGATGAACATGAAGCTCATGTGCTCACATGACATCCTCTGCTCCAGTCAGGGTGGGGATGGGGCCACCCTTGAACTGTGCTAACCCTGCCAGAGATGGCTACGGACTGAGGATGATGATGAGACTCAGGAAGGACCCTGCAGCCAGGATGGGGAGAAGGTGGTTCCATGTACCCCTGACTGACAGACCCTTGAACAGGGACCTCAAGCACCCCTTTCCCTGCTTCTTCCGGGAACACTCACCCACCTGCCCAAACCGTCTCATCCTGAGAGACTCTCCCTGATCTCTGGAGGTGACAGGACCTGCTCCCAGCTCCTGCAAATTGGAACTGGCCTTTCATGACCCTGCTCAGGAGTGCTATATGTGCTCCCCACCATGCTGGGAGCCTCCCTGGGGCCTGGCACAGGGCCCGTGCACAGTAGGTACTTGGCTACAGTCTGAATATTCTTGAGCCCTGGGTACCCAGTGGTGAGCCCATCTCTGTTCTAAGTACTTACATACCAATATATAACCATAGCTATGGTCAGTGCCCTGGATGAAAATGGCAGGAAAAATCTTGAATGCAGAGAAAGCACCCACATAAATGTGGTGACTTTCATCTCAGGACAGGAGGATGAGTCAGAGAGAGAGCAGAGGGGGCAAAATGTGGTGGACAGTGTGTGGAAGAGTGTGTACAAAGGCCTGGAAGAGAAAAGGAAGTAAAAGAAGGCCTATGTGCTGAGGTCGAAGGACAGCCTCTCAGCCAGATGCTCAGCCAGTCCTAGCCTCCCTGTGGGAGGTCCTCCCCCCAGGTTCCTGATGCCTGGACCCTGGGGCCTCCTCAGCTGGGCCCAAGACCAACCTGGATGCAGGGTGAGGCACGGCCTTGCTGCCGGTGGCTGTAGAGTGTGTCCAGCATCCACTGGAGCTGTGCGGTACTGGTGGGGTTCTGGCTTGAGACTATCCCGAACACCAGTACCTGGCTGGGGTCGCGGGGCACAGACAGAAAGCGCTCCAGCTCCACATCAGTTACCAGGGGTGCCTTCACCAGGCACTTGCAGCCAGCCCTAATGTCTTCTTTGCGAATGAGCTTCCGCAGCACCAGCGGGCAGTCAGAGGGCGAGGCTGCCCACCTGGTGGGGCTGCGCACCTCTTGGGCCTTCCCCCTACAATGAGAAGCAAGTGGGCCGGTGCTCAGTGGGCAGGGCTCAGGTCCTTGCCCCACTAGCACCTGCTGGTGCAGCACCACCTTGGATGGTGTGTGTGTCCCTAACCTCTGTGTTCCTCAGTTTCCTCAGGGGCAAAACTTGTGACTCCTTCACCCATCCAACAAAAACTTTGGAGTCATCCTGAACCCTCTTCTTTCTCTGACACCCACACCCCATCCAACCCATCAGTAAGCCTGTCTGCTCTACATTCAAGAACGATCTAGAATCCATCCGCTTTCCTGTCCTCCTACTCCTACTGACACAGCACAAGCTGCCATCATTTCTTGCCTGGATGACTGCAAGGGCCTCCTAATGGTGCTCTGCCTTCTCCCCTGACCCCTCTTCAATCTATTCTGCACACACCAGACTGGGGGATCCTGGCTCCTGTTAGAACCTAAGTCATGTTATGTCACTACTTTCTGAAATCCTCCAGTGGAGGAAAGTGGAATATATAGAAACTGCTATATTTTGATAAGAGAGTATTGTGGTGTTTTAACTTACTCATTTACTATCCCCCACTCCCCAGCTTGGTGGCATTCATGGGGATGGCAGCCCATGTTCCTGGTGTGGTTTGCTGATACCAGAGATGGTAATATGAACTTTGCTCTCAAGGAACTGTGGTTGTGTGGTTTGATGTGTCTGGAGGTTCCCTGAAGGATTGGCTAATGGCTTGCCTTTGTATTTCCCACCTTGGAATTTTCTCCTGGGCAGCATCTCTCAAAGTATTTAGAAGGAAATATATCAGATACAACCTCCTGGTGCAAGGTATAACACACAGGCACATAGTACACAAACCAAAAAGCTTGGGAATAAGAGGCTGGGGAAAAATTCATGAGGGAATAAAGACTTTGGAAGGTTCCACATACACTAGGGAATCTAAAGGGACACATGCATGCCCAGGATTGGAACCATGTTTAGAAAAAGCCTGAGAACATCCTAGATTTTCACCCCTGGCAGATCTTTGGGCTCCACACAAGTGGGAAGTGAAGGACAAAGTAGAGATGTAAAGAGCCTGGCTAAAAGCACTAAAGGAGTGTACATCAACATAGTTAATCTGCAATGATAGGAGGATTGTTGTCGCTGTTTTTATTGTTGTTGTTGTTGTTCTTGTTGTTGTTGTTGTTGTTGTTTTGGCTCTAGGTATTTAAGGAAGTTTGTCAATTTTTTCTAGCTGACTACTAAGCTAACCAGAGACCTTATGATCACACATGACAAAGAATATAGTCTTTATAAAAGTAGTCTAGAAAAGTCTCTAAACAAACAACTACAAACTATGAGTAGCAAAAACAAACCATGGAAAGGGAAGAATTTTGATTTCTAGAATTACCACAGTATAATACTAAAAATATTCAGTTTTGAACAAAAAGTTATGAAGCACTAAAGAGAAACAAGAAAATATGTCTCATTCACATGAAAAAAGAAATAAAGAAAAACTATCCCTGAGGAAATCCAGCTATTGGACTTACTAGGCAAAGATTTTTAATTAACTGTCCTAATTATGCTCAAAGTACTAAGGAAAGCAGGAATGAAGAACTAAAGGAAACCAGGACAACAACGTCCACAAAACAGAAAATATCAATGTAGAAATGGAAAGTATAAAAGAAATCAATTAGAAACTTTAGAGTTGAAAAGTGCAATAAATGAAATGAAAAATTCAACAGTGGATCTGAACAGGCCAAAAAAAAAAAAAAAAAAAAGAATCGGCAAACTTGAAGACAGGCCAAGTGAGATTATCCAGTCTGAGGAATAGAAAGAAAAAAAATGAAGAAAAATTAATAGAGCCTCAGTTACACGTGAGACACCATTGAGAATACCAATATATACACAATGTGAATTCCAGAAGGATAAGAAAGAAAGGAGCAGAAAGAGTATTTGAAGGAATAATTGCCAAGAGAGTCTTCAACTTTGACAGATCTCTAACAAGATCAACAAATCTCTAGGTAAGATAAATTCAAAGAGATCTACAGTGAGACACATTATAATTGTTGAAAGACAAAGGCAAAGAGTATCTTGAAAGCAACAGAAGTATTTCATCACATAGAAGGATCCTCAGTAAGATTAACAGCCAATTTCTCATCAAAAATAATGGAGGCCAGAAGGCAGTGGAATTACATATTTAAAATGCTAAAAAGAAAAAAAAAACTTTCCAATAAAGAATTCTATATTAAGCGAGTTTTCCTTCAAAAATAAAAGAGAAATCAAGACATTCCAAGATAAACAAAAGTTGAGGAAGTTTGTCACCAGTAGGCCTGCTGCAAAAGAAATGCTAAAGTATCCTTTAGATTGAAATGAAGAATACTAGGCTGTAATTTCAAACTATATAAAGAAATAAAAAAACACTGTAAAGGTAACTACATTAAGTAAATATAAACCCACATTATTATATTTTCAATTTGTAACTCCTGTTTTTTTCTATATGATTTAAAAGACAAATACATAAAACAATAATTATAAAACTATGTTAATTGGGCACACTATGCATAAAGATGTCATTTTTGACAACAACAATGTGGCAGGGGGTATGGATCTGTATAGAAGAGATTTTGTTACTTTTGAAGCTAAGTTGGTATTAATTCAAGCTAGATTGTTATTGTAATTCCCAGACTAACCACTAAAAAATAACTAAAAACTACACAGAAAAGGAAGTAAGAAGGAAATAAAACTGTGTGTATTATTTAGGGCTCTCCAGAGAAACAAAACCAATACGATATATGTAGATATATATCATAGAAAAGTTATTACAGGAGTTGGTTCATGTGATTATAGATGCCAAGAAGTCCCACAGTCTGGTGTCTACAAGCTGGAGATCCAGAAAATATAGTATTAAAATTTAATCTGAGTCCAAAAACCCAAGAAACAGGGAGCCAATAGTGAAATTCCTAGTCCAAGGGCAAAGGCGGAAGAAGTAAGTCTTCTGTGTAAGTCCTAGAGTCCAAAGGCCCAAAAACCAGGAGCTCTGATGTCTGAGGGCAGGAAGAAATAGACTTTTCAGCTCAAGAAAATAAAGAAGGAATTCACCTTTGCTTTTTTGTTTTATTCAGGCCCTCAGTGGATTGGATGATGTCCACCCACATTGGTAAAGATGGATCTCTTTACCAGTCTACTAAATCAAATGCTAATCTCTTCCAGGAACACCTTCACAGACACACCCCAAAATAATATTTTCCCTTAGCCTAGTCAAGTTGAAACAAAATTAAGCATCACAGCATATACCAACATACATAAAAGTAAGAAACAAAAACAAAAGTCAACAATGGAGGAATTGAGGAACAAAAACTATAAGATTTTAGAAAACCAATTAACAAAATGGAAGAAGTAAGTCATTAATTGTAATTACTTTTAAATGTAAATGGATGAAAATCTTCAACAAAACTCAAAGACTGACAGAATGGAAAAGAAAACAAAAAACCAAAAAAAACCCTATGACCCAATAATATGGTCTCTACAGGAGACCCATTTTAGAATCAAAGATACAACTGGGTTGCAAGTAAAAGGATGGAAATAAACTGCAAGCAAATAGTAACCATAAATGAACAGGAGTAGCTAAACTGATAAGAGACAAACATAATACTTTAAGTAAAAAATGATTTCAGGAGACAAATGAGGCATTAGACATTAAGAACAGGGTCACTCTCACTAGAAATATAACAATTGTGAAATATATATGCAGTATGACAACACAGTCTAAATATATGAAGCAAAAACTGACAGAACTGAAGGGAGAAACAGAAAATTCTACTCTAATAATTGGGTATTTCGACACCCTATTTTCAATAATTGACAGAACAACTAAAAAAAGACAAAAAAGAAAATAGACAACTTAACACTGTAAGCCAACTAATCAAAGAGACATATGTAGATCATTTACCTTAACTACAGAAGAATATATATTCTTCTCAAGTGCACAAGGAACATTTTCCAGGGTAAACTATATATATTCACCCATCAAAAAGTCCCAATAAGTTTTAAAAAATGAAATCATAGAAGATATTTTCTCCAATAAGAATGGAATGAAATTAGAAATCAGTAACAGAAGGAAATTTGGAAAAATCATAAATATGTGGAAATTAAGCAACACATTAAGCAATCAATGGATCAAAGAAGGAATCACGAGAAAAATGAGAAAATACTTTGACATTAATGAAAACAAAACAATCCAAAATACTAAAACTTATGGGATACATTGAGAAGAGTACTCAAATAGAGATGTATAGCATTAAAAGAGAAGAAAGAGCTCAAATCAATAACCTAACTGAAATTTACATTAGAAAAACAAGAGCAATCTAAACTCAAAGCTAGTAGAAGGAAAGAAATAATTCTCAGTAGGTAAAGAAAATAGAAAATAGAAAGCAATATAGAGAAACAACTAAAAAATGTTTGTTTCTCTGAAAAGATCAACAGAATTCATTAATCTTAGTTGGATGTAGGAAAAGTAGAGAAGACTGAAATTGCTAAAATAAAATATGAAAGTGGAACATTATTACTGATCTTAAAGAACTAAAAAGGAGTATAAGAAGTCATTGTGAACTGTACACCAACAAATTAGATAACCTAAATGAGGGGCAACAGGGTAGCTCAGTCAGTTGAGTGTCTGACTCTTGATTTAGGCTCAGGTCATGATCCCAGGGTTGTGGGATCAAGTTCCATGCTAAATGTGAAACCTGCTTGGGATTATCTCTCTCTTCCCCTCTGCCCCTTTCCCCCACTGATGCTCTTTCCCCTAGACTACTTTCTTACACCATTCACAAAAATAAACTCAAAATGAATGGGGCCTGAATGGGAGACAGGAAACCATCAAAACCTGAAAAGCCAGGAAAAGACCTCTCTGACTTCGTAGCAATTTCTTCACCTTGACACATCCCAAATACAGGGAATTAAAAGCAAAATGAACTACTGGTCCTTATGAAGATAAAAAAGCTTCTCACTGCACAACAAAGGAAACAATAACAAAACTAAGA